GGTCCCTGATGCTTTTGCTAAGCTTGTTCTAAGTAGGTGCTTTAGACCACTGAGCCATCTCTCCAGCCCTGTTTATGTCTTGAGATAGGGTTTCACTCTGCAGTTCAGGCTGGCCTTGAACTCACAGGGACCCTCCTGCCTCAGCCTCCTGAATGCCAGGTCTATAGGCATGCACCACTCTACCTGGCCTAGCGTGGCCTGTTGTTCTTGTTGTTGTTTTTACACAGAAAAGTTATGGGAGACAGACCTATGACCTTGCTCTATCATTTTTGTTGCGGAGATAAGTTCCCGCTAGGTAGTCTAGCCCTTGTCTCCACGCCTGCTTCAGCCTCTCAGGTGCTGCAAATATAAGTTCACGGCACCAGACCCGGCCCTGTTATTGTCTTTATTCACAGGTTAAATACAGTTTAAGGAGATTCATATGTGTGTCATGTTGGTAAAGTGTGGGCCTGTGATTGTTATATTTTTTCCTTCTTTTTCTTTCATTTATTTATTTTTGGCAGAACCGGGGATTGAACTCAGGCCCTTGCGCTTGCCAGGGAAGCGCTTATTCTACCGAGCCATCTCCCCGGCCCCCTTCCTTCCTTCCTTCCTTCCCTTCCTTTCCTTTCCTTTCCTTTCTTTTCTTCTTTCTGTGCTACTGGGGATTGACCCGGGGCCTCCCCACGGAGCCGCATTCCCAACTCTTTTTATTTTGAGACAAGGGCTTGCTACATTGTCGATGCGCTGTGCTCGGCTGGGCTCATCTTGTGCCTGCCTCAGGCGGCAGCCTCGCAGGGGGAGACGTGGGTACCTCCACATCAGCAGACTTGTTCTCCGTGTGCCAGGGACGTGCCCCTAGATGAGAGCAGTGCTACAGCCCACAGATTAAGGCAGCCAGATTGGGGGGGACTGCACCCAGTTTTTGAAGATCTGGATAGGTGAAGAAAAGGGAATTCTCCCTGCCCACCTGTCTTGGGCTGGGACCTTGGTCTTCTCTGGCCTCTGACTCAGACTGAAATAGGGGCTGCTTTTGGTCTTCAGCTGGACCACTTTCAGGCTGGGCACTGCGAAGTCTCCAACTTGCCAACTACAGATCTTCTCACTCTCCAGAGTCATGTAAGCAAATTCCCTCTAACACACACTCTGGGTACTGTTTCTCTAGAAAAGCCAAATGAGCAGTACATTTCATACTAAAAACAATTTTGAGAGCCAGGTGTTGTGGCACACACACACCTGCAATCCCAGGACTTAGGAGGCTGAGGCAGGAGGATCTCTGTGAGTTCAAGACCAGCCTGAACTACATAGTGAGATCCTGTCTCGAAAAACAAAACGGTTTTGAGCCAGGTGTGGGGGCACATGCCTGTAATCCTGGCACCTGGGAGGCTGAGACAGGCAGGAGGTGGAGTGGGGTTGCCAGGCTAGCCTGGACTACATAGCTAATTTGAGGTTAGCCTGTGCTACAGTGAGAATCCATCTCAAAAGAAAGAAAAATAATAATTTATGTTTTTTTTTGTTTCGTTTAATTTTCCTGGGGCTGGAAATCCAACCCAGGGACTTGAATGTGTGTTCTACTGCTGAGCTACAGCACCAGCCCTTTTTTAAAATTTATTCATTTATTTGGTGGAACCGGGGATCAAACTCAGATCCTTGCACTTGCCAGGGAAGCGCTTATTCTACTGAGCCATCTCCCCGGCCCTCCTTTCTATTTTTGTTTTGTAATCTGCCTGCGTCAGCCTCCCACGCAGCTAGGACTACAGGCACACACCACCGCACCCTGCTGAAATTAAGGTCGATGGACGGAAGGACCCTTTCACAAAAACTGACCTGGTCCTCCAGCAGGCAGGGGGCGCTCCAAAAGAGGGCTCTTCTCCCAGCCTCACTGGGCCGTTTTAACGCGACCCTCCCTCGTTGCTAGGAAACGAGATGCTTCTTCTCGCGGGAGGCGGAGGTCTGGCGCCGGCTCCGCTCGGCCTCGACCCCACCCCCGGCCGAGACCCGCGGTGCTGCGGCGGCGGCGGTGCCAGAAGGCAGTGCCAGAGGTGTCTTTCCGGAGGGCTTCCTTGTCCCAGCGGGAGCCGAGGCTTCTTGCCTGGATCCGGCCCCGCGCGCCATGCCTAAGAAAGGCAAGAATGCCAAGGCGTCCCTGTCCAACGAGGAGCAGCTGCTTCTGTTTCAGCAGAAGCTGCTGGCCGAGGAGGAGATGGCCAAGAAGAAGGAGCGGCTCCTCAGCCAGTTCCTGAAGGTGCGGCCTCCCGCGGCCCGCCCCTCCCGCGGCCCGCCCCTCCCGCGGCCCGCCCCT